AGGGCTTGCTTGTGTTTTTGAAGGCCTTGATCAACTGTTGCTTTTAAGGCCACAGCCTCTAGTTCTCAGAACTAAAGATTTGCTTCAATCTGTAACTACTCTTCCATACCTAGGAGCTCCTGCAGGAAAAGTCAGGGGTTCTATCTTAGTCAGATATGAATCCCCAGCTCATCCAAACTCAGTAATACTCAGTAAATATTAAAGATGGTCTCATTTGTGAGGTTGGCACCCACTATAACTGTAGACTCTATTGTATATAGATTGGTCCGGGTATAATTGATGGTACATGATAAGAAAATACTTTTTAAAGTCGTTGAAAAAGTCACATTATTAATAATGGTCAAAATAGAATGATGTCATTGAAATGGAATTTTTCATTTACCTAGGATTTCAGTGTTTGAGCCCTGGCTGGTTTGCTCAGTGGATAAAGTGTCAGCCTGCGGACTGAAGGGTCCCAGGTTCGATTCCAGTCAAGGGTACAAAGGCTGGGTTGCCGGCTGGATCCCCATTAGGGGGTGTGCAGGAGGCAGCCAATCATCGATGTTTCTTTCTCTCCCTCTCCCTTCCTCTCTGAAATTAAAAAATACCTATTTTTTAAAAATTTCAGTGTTTGACAAAACAGATTTAATTGAAAGATGAACTAGATATTTGAGGATTTTGGTGAATACTTTTCTGGAAGTATTTAAGGGTTTCTGATGTTAAGTCTAATAATGATTTTTAAACTTCCAGTTTTATGTCATTTTGTAGTTTTTAAATATGTGTGTGTGTGTGTGTGTGTGTATATATATATATATATATATAATTGATTTCAGAGAGGAAGGGAGGAGAGATAGTTAGAAACATCAATGATGAAAGAGAATCATTGATTGGCTGCCTCCTGCACGCCCCCCACTGGGATCGAGCCCGCAAGAGCCCGCAATCTGGGCATGTGCCTTTGAGCAGAATCGAACCCAGGACCCTTCAGTCCGCAGGCTGATGTTCTAGCCGCTGAGCCAAACCAGCCAGGGCTCATTTTGTAGTTTTAATAAATTTAATTTATATTATTTTATGGTATGCTACTAGCCTTTAACTTATTTCACCACTATTCTGGCTCTTTAAAATATTTCCTGACAACTTTGCTTCTTCAGTAATAATTGACTGAGAAGTAAAAGAGGAAAACTTGAGGAGAGCACTATCCTATTTCCTGGGTATGGGGCTGAGGGAATGCCTATGGGGGATGGGGGGGAAACATATTGGTTGAGGCATTTCTTTCCAATCACCACAAGGTGGCACCACTGGCTCAGAATGACTGGGTTTCCGCCAGAATCAGAAGGAAGGCTTTGAGAGCCCACCTGCTGTAGGGGTAAAAAAAAAAGATAGTTTTATATTACTTTTTCCTTATAGTCTAGAGATTTTTGTAAATTGGATGTTTATAAAGCAGGGAATTAAGCACATGATGAATTTATATCCATTATTTCATCTGATAATTTTTATTGTGTTTTGTTTTTTTTCTTTCTGTACCTGTAGTTGCTTCAGAAACAGGTAATATTTTTCTAACAGTCACTTTGTATTCTTGCATCTTGCCTTTATAAATGCTTTTGTTTCTTACCATAGTGGATAATGGAAAATTAATATACTCTGACTTATGACATTAGAAAAATCTACATGCAAATTCCCACAATTGCAATTGATTATAGCCAGTTGATTTTTTGAAATTTGCTGGCATTCTGGATACAACATTGTACTATGTAATACCAACAGTGTTTTTAAAAATCCAAACATGGCTGTTAATAAAGCATTTTTAGAATTTACAGTAGTGGTTATTGGTAACAGTGTAGAATGGAATATCCAGGTCTTGATTTCTTTTAGCTAATGATACAGTGCTGATCTGAAGTAGAGTATTTATGACCAGGGTGTTCTCCAGCATCCTGACACTATAGCCTCATTTTGTGTTGACTCCCCACTTCTGCGCATCTTTCCCTAAACTTTTTACTCGTCTTTAAAAAGGGATTGTCTTTGGGGAAATTCTGATTTTATTTATTTTTTAATTTAATTTTTAGTTTTCAGAGGAAGGGAGAGAGAAGAGAGAGATAGAAGAAACATCAATGATGAGAGAGAATCATTGATTGGCTACCTCCTGCACGCCCCCTCCTGGGGATCAAGCCCACAACCCAGGCATGTGCCCTTGACAGGAATCGAGCCCGAGACCCTTCAGTCTGCAGTAGATGCTCTATCCATTGAGCCAAACCGGCTAGGGCTCTTTGGGGGAAATTTTAAAAGTAACATCATTCCTTATTAAGAGAAACACTTTCACATTTTCCCTTCCCCCATTTCTGCCTTGAAATAAAACCATAATGCTCCAAGTAAAAACAGGTGAATAGTTAATTCCTTTTATAAGGTTGGTGTTGTAAACAGAAGATTTAAGATAATGTAGAATTGGAAAAATAGGTTATTTAATAAATGGCCTCTTTCTACAGCCTAAACTCTGATCAGCAGAGTAAAACTTGGTTTAGTGAAGTTTGCTTTTTTTTTTTTTTTAAATATGTTTTATTGATCTACAGAGAAGAAGGGAGAGGGATAGAGAGTCAGAAACATTGATTGGAGAGAAACATCAATCAGTTGCCTCCTGCACACTCCCCACTGGGGATGCGCCCGCAACCGAGGTACATGCCCTTGACCGGAATTGAACCTGGGACCCTTGAGTCCGCAGGCCGACGCTCCATCCACTGAGCAAAACCAGCCAGGGCTGCTTTTTTTTTTTTACCCTCAGTGAAAGCCTTGCTGTTTTCTTTTAGAACAGGGGTCCTCAAATTTTTTAAACAGGGGGCCAGTTCACTGTCCCTCAGACCGTTGGAGGGCCGGACTATAGTTTAAAAAAAAACTATGAACAAATTCCTATGCACACTGCACATATCTTATTTTGTAAAAAAACAAAATGGGAACAAATACAATATTTGTATTTGCATGTGGCCCGCGGGCCGTAGTTTGAGGACCCCTGTTTTAGAATAATAATATATTATTATAAAAGTACATTTAAGTTATTTTTTTGTATTTTTCAATTTCAGGACAGCTTGGCTTGGTCTCTACTCTTTCCAAATACTTTGCCATACATACACACACATTCCTGCAGCGAGAAAAAGTCCATTTATGTTGCTGTGTAAAAAAAAAAAAAAAAAATCTCTCGCTGCTTTGAGCTTTAATTTTGTGAATAAAAATAATGCTACTTTTAATACTGGATTTCCATCTAAGTATGTGCTTTATTTACTTAAAATGTATGCTTTTCTAAAATTAGTGTGATTAAAACATTAACAGGATCTTAATTATAAATTAATAATCCTGTTGCTTCTTGCAGAAGATAACATGACTGGTTTGGAATTTTTCTGTAGTCTAGTTTTCTGTTCTAGTTTTGTGAAAATTAAACTAGTGAATTTTAGCATCCTAATGTAAGTTATTATTTGATTTTTTTAGAGCATTTCACATTCTTGAAAACACACATGCCAAAATTAATTTTTACCAAGAATTTGTGTAACTTTAAGATAATACAGAGTAGGGCTTGACTTAGGTGAATGTCATGTAAAGCCAAGTTTTTAGGACCATCTTCCAGCTGAAGATGACATGAAGTCAGCATCAGTCTATTAGACTCTTAGAAAGTTTTCCCAAAATAGAGTCGCTTCTAGTGAGTACTCCTTCCCACTCTCAACTGTAGTGTGCATCTCTGGGGAGGCCCCCGCGTACACTCTTGGCGTTTATTACTGCTAGCAATGAGAATTGTGCTGCTGGTAGAGCTGGCAGCTAAGCCCATTAGTGCAGTTATGTCTTTATTTCCTAGTGAGTGTGCTACCCCCATCCCTCCCCACTCCTTCATCCGCCCCTGGTTTGGGATGAGGGGAAGTAAAAGCTAGTTAGGCTTGTAGTGCCATCCATAAATTTGCTGGCACAAATTTCTTACTTTGTCATCACCTTGCCCACTGGAGAGCTGTTAGTAGTCACAAAAGCAGTATCAAATAAAAAATCCCTCTGGAATTGGCTCTTTTGAGGAGACACAGCTGTTGATTCTTCCCTTCTTTTCCGTGGTGGTAGCTTGTAGTAGGGGTGAGCTCATAATGACTGGGAGCCTGATCAGCAGAAGTATCACTGTCTAGCCCTGTGCTAGATGATGCCATAAGAGTCCAGCCACTTAAGTGCAAGCCTTTATCTCCAAAGCATTTTCTAACGTTGCCCCAGTGGACCTTTATTTAACTGAGTCCTAACTCCCAACTAGAGAAAATTTTTCTTTGCTGGGATAGCTGCTACAGATAGTTCCCGTCAGCCAAGCATACTGATGCCGTGTTGCTTTCACTAGCTAGTGCTCCTCAGTAATATTAGCAGAGGAGAAGCAGACACAAGTGAGAAAGAATGGATCGGAAGTTCAGATGGCCCTGCCATGTGAACTTTCTGGAGACAGGAAACACTGTAGGGCCTGAACTTTGTAACAGGGAAGCTGTAGGGAAAAATGGGTTCTGTGGAGAATGGGTCACTTAGAATAGCTTCAGTTACTAATGGCAAAAGTATGTTAGGATACTGATGCTTGCATATAGACATGGGTTCAGAAAGTGGAAAAATCTTCCCATGTTTGGCTGCAGGACCACTGGGGGTATGTCTAATTACTGGGTTCTTTTAACAAAAGAGATCCTTTTAGGTGGATGGATAGAAATTTTCTGGATTACTTCAAAAAACACCAAGTAATTATTTTTCATATAATTTAATGACTTGTGAATATATGAAAACATTTCATGTGGCTTAAAATTATATTGAAAACATAATCTTCATTAATAATTATCTATGATGCCAATTAAGTTTTCTAAAGTTAGAAGCATCAGATATCTGAAAGCATACTGTTAATGAATGTTATTCTTTCTGCATTAGAAATTCCCTTTTCATAATTATTTTTTAGCATACATCTTTGTTGGTAATTTATGTGTATAGTTTAGTCCATTGTGTGGGTGGTTGTATGATCTTTCAACCAAAAACATCCTTTGCAGATGCTTTCACTGACTCAGCTATCGGTGCTAAAGTGAACGGTGAGCACAAGGAGAAGGACCTGGAGCCCTGGGATGCAGGGGAGCTCGCTGCCAGTGAGGAGCTCGAAGCTTTGGAGAACGACGTCGTAAGTACAGTCTCTGGATTACTAACCGACTATGGCCGTGTGATGTGGTATGACATCCTGTCACTTGGATTCAATTTAAGTATGTTGTTGTTGTTGTAATTATATTTAAAGCAGCAGTTTTATTGTGTAAATGTAGATTGTTGCCTGTATTTCCCCTCCTTCCCCCACCCCCCAACCCCCACCCCAGGGTGGTAAATACAGAAAAAATGTTTCTTTGGGATGCTTATGAATTATTCCTATGTTTTTAAAGTAAGTTATAATAAGCAACTTTCAAATCTAAACCATGGGAAACTGGAAATGCCAGAATACACTGGGGCCTTGACTTACGAGTTTAATTCGTTCCGTGACGGAGCTCCTAACTCAAATTACTCGTATGTCAAATCAAAAACTGAACGAGTAAGACACGTGATGCTGGGCTGATGTTGTGGCGTTCACTGCGCCAACTAGCGGTGGGGTATCTGAAGCTGGCTCGTAACCCGAATTTTAGCTTGCAACTCAAAGCAAAAAATCGGCTGAGAGACGGCTCGTTAGTCGGGAAACTCGTAAGTCAAGGCCCCACTGTATTTTGCTTTGAGTGCTCTGCCCCATAAGGCAGCCCAAGGCAAGTGGTATGGTGTCTAAATTGTCTGTTGACTTTAGGTGAGGTCAAAGTACATCTTTCAGGCTTGTCTGAAAAAGAAGTACTAATTATTAAGGTATACAGTTAGGTAACTGTATAATTAAAGCAACAAATAAATTTCTTAATCTAAATTAGGATCATTCGCCACAAAAACCTATTTATAAAAGTCTCTTAGCAAACATTTTTACTTTTCCTATAACACGTCATCTATAAATCACATGCTTAATAAAGGCTGTCTTTAGGATTCTGTAAATAAATTTTCTAAACTGCAGAGATAGAAAGCAAAGTCTCTTGCCAAAAATGAGTGTTTAGGGAGCAAAATTAGAATCGTATGAAGAATCTTCCATTGAATATTACAGAGAAGTCTTATAACCAATCTGTGCTTTATCTTTAAGTCATTGTTCAGTTATAAATACGTAGGCAACACATCACTATTAATTTTCAAACATTAAAGAATCACATATAACCTGATGCAAAGGTTCTGAGGTCTGTGCAGCATAGCACCTGCGTGGAGGGTGTAGTGAAGCAGGCACTCTTTTTTTATTGGTAGTGAGGCACATAAGTGGATCAATGCTTTCTAGAGAGCATTCTGGCAATATCTTATTTAAAAAAAAAAGATTTCATTGATTTTTTACAGAGAGGAAGGGAGAGGGATAGAGAGTTAGAAACATTGATGAAAGAGAAACATCAATCAGCCGCCTCCTGCACACCCCTCACTGGGGATGTGCCTGCAACCAAGGTACATACCTTTGACTGGAATCAAACCTGGGACCCTTCAGTCCGCAGGCCGACGCTCCATCCACTGAGCCAAACCAGTTAGGGCCTGGCAATATCTTATCTGAATTTAAAATAAACATACACTTTGGTCTAGCAGTTCTACCCCTGAGAATTTATTTTTGCCATAATTGATCCGTAAAACGTGAAAATAATTATGTATGAGGATTTTTTTTGCAGCTGTTTCTGATAGTGAAAAATTTGATACAGCCTCATTGTCCATTAGCAGGGTGTGGGTTAAGTAGATTTAGTGTACCTTCATTCAGTTGAAATACTATATGTCCATGAAAAAGAATAGTAGTTTGGTATGGAAAGATATGCAAGACTTAATGAATGAAAAAGCACGTTGGAGAACAAGAAGATCATATTTGGGTTTTAAAATAAAGAGAGAGCCAATTATATGTGCATAGGGACTGTCTGGATTATGTCCAAGAAATTGTTAGTAGTGGTTAGGCACACATTTACTTTTTATTGGATGTCTTTCTGCAGTTTAGATTTTTTACATGGAGCATAAACTACTTAAGTAATTTTAAAGCCTTCACAAGTAACTGATTTTCTGTCCATGTTAGGCCTAAGGAGTTGCTTTAGTGGTGGAATTACATTATAGTTTTGTTTTTAAATATATTTTTATTGATTTCAGAGAGGAAGGGAGAAGGATAGAGAGATAGAAATATCAATGATGAGAGAGAATCATGGATCGTCTGCCTCTTGCATGCCCCCTACTGGGGATCAAGTCTGCAACCTGGGCATGTGCCCATGGCCGGAATCAAACCTGGGACCCTTCAGTCCTCAGGCCGACACTCTATCCACTGAGCAAAACTGGCTAGGGCTACATTATAGTTTTATCTGAAGTAACACAGAGAACCCAAGGTCGATGGGTGACCTTAGAGGCAAGCTTTAGTGTTGAAGTTGCCATGGACATTGCTTGGATGATTCTGTGTTCTCTCTTCTGAGATGGATAATGATTATGGACTGTATTTTGGTCTTTCCACCAGTCAGGCCTTTAAAAGGAGTTGAAACAATAGAGAAGTGATTGATTACCTAGACATTAATATATACCAGTGAAGATTCTTGCCGCCACTGCCCCTGATGGATTAATTCTTATGGATTAAAAACTGTACTTTAGCCCTGACCAGGTAGCTCAGTTGGTTAGAGCATTGTCCCGATATGCCAAGTTCGATCCCAGTCAAGGCACATACAAAAATCAACCAAATAAATGCCTAAATAATTGGAACAACAAATCGACGTTTTTCCTCTCTCTCTCTCTCTCTCTCTCTCTCTCCC